TTTTTAACTTAAGCATAAACAAAAAAAGAAACATTTTTTTTTTAAATGATAAAAATTTTTTTAATTGATTATATATTTATTTTATTAGTGATGACAATGGACCAGATAAGTAAAAATTATTTCATTTATAAATTTTTAATTTTCTGTTATGTTATAGTTATGTTTTTTAATTTTTTTAGCTTGCTAAAGGTTAGACCTAAGTAGGTATCTTTATTATCAAATTTTAAATTTGATTTTTGAAATGATTTTATATTAAATAAAAATAATAATTTGATAAGTTTTCATTATATAAAAGAAAATTTAGGTTTTATTGTTAAATTGTTGAGTTATTTTGTTTGTAAATTTAATAATTAATTATTGGAATTTGATTTTAAAGAAGTTGTAAAGATTTTTATTTATTTAACAAAAATGCCAACATTGGCATTAACAGGAAATTTGGTTATCACCATTACAATGAAAAACAAACTGAGATTGGTTATATTCCACTTCAAAACCTCTATTTGTATCATACTTCAATTTAATTCTTTGTTTGTTGTAGATATTTATTTATTGCTCAAAAGAGTTTTTATCTTTATCCAGAGTTGTTTGTTGCTTGATCTTAGTTAAATCACTCATATTGAGTAACAACTTTAAAGTAACTATTGCATATAATGAGTGTTTATAATTTAAAAATGGAAAGAAATGGAAAAGAAAGGAAAGACTGTATTTTTGTGTATTTGGATTTATTTATATTTATTATTTAACAAATATATATTACTTAAAGATAAGTTTTTAAGTATATCTATATATCTATAAGTATATAATAATATAATTATATTATTATTTACTTGTATACAATTTATCAAAATTGTTAATAATTTTTTAGAAAGTGTTTATTACTTTACTAATTTTTTATTTATTTGTGTATTTGCTGTTGAAGTGAAATGTTAATCACGTAAATTTTAATATTTTTTATGTAAATCAAAAAAAATTTGTTTTCAGAAAATATTTTCAAAAACATGCCATTAATTTTTAATATATAAGATTTGCTAGAAATAATTCAAATTTTACTTTTATTTACGGAAAGTATCTGGCACCTGAGTTGCCTTTCCATTGTATAGCCGGAAAAACTTTAATTTAAACGGAAGTATCCATTTTTTTACGGAAAAATCCGGCAGCTGCCGATGACCAAACTACCTGTTGTTTAACAGAATAAACTCATTGTATTTTAACGGAAAAAATCCGTTTGTTAGCGGAAACTTCCGTTTGCATACGATGGGTTTTTCCGTAAAATAACGGGTAGTTTGGTCATCGGCAGCTGCCGGAACTTTTCCGTAAAAAACGCGCTATTTTTTAACAGTGTTTCAAGACATAAATAAATGGGAGTATCATTAGCAAACAATGACACTTTAGATGGGAGAATATCTGAAAGATTGTTACTGTAAATTAAAAAGAGTTTAGGGCTAAAGACAAAACCTTGGGGAACCCCTGATTTTATTGGAATTGAAGAAGAGTGCAGTTTATTGAAGACAGCGTTTATACTACAATTGGTAAGAAAAAATTACTCAATCTTAAAGATGTTACCTGATACACCTCGAGAAAAAACTTTTGGATTTTTGATAAAATTTAGCATCTAGGTTTTTTGAAACCTAAATTCTAAATTTTATCAAAAGGCTTAGAAATGTTAAGAGCAATAACCATAAGCTCTCTGCATCTAATGCATTATAAAACCTATTGGTTATTACCTTTAACAAATCAACAGTAGATCGAAATTTATATTGAGGATCAGAAAGTAAGTTTTTAGATTCAAAATGAGATTATAGGTGTTTGTTAATTAAAGACTTAGAAACTTTGGTTATTATAGAAAGAATACTAATGACACGGTAGTTACACAAGTCAGTTCTCTCTCTAGAATTTTTGAAAATAGGGATATCATATACCACTTTCCAGAAAGGTGGAAAAATAGGAGCGTTTGTTAAATAGTTTTGAAAGTATGAACATGGGCTCCGGAAAACACTTTTATAAGACATTGACATGTATGTTGTCCAAACCACAAGTTGTAGACGAGTCTAAGCAAGAAATTACTTTAGATACAAAAGCTGGAGTGATACGAGTGTCAAGCAATGGATCAATCTGTTTTTCAGCTATATCAGGTTGAACGCAACAAGTGAAATCAAATGAAAATATTGATGAAAAGCTCTTCAAAAACAATTCAGCTTCGTTAGTTGAGATGACAAAGTCTGAACCATACAAAAAAGGTGAAATAATAGATTCGCCCTTATTAAAGATGCCGTTAAAGATTCTCCAGAAATCATGACCCAGCCAGCACACTTACATTGGGCCAACGTATGTAAAACCATCGCAAACGTTGGCTCTTTTTTTTCAATGCAAAACCAACGTTGATCCAATGTCATTTGGTTAATAATAAAATTATTACAGACGGAACTAAAAACATATGTTAATTTACATTGGTCCAATGTATGTAAAAACATCGCAAAAAGTTGATTGTTTATACAATCTAAACCCAACATTGATCCAATGTATATATCTCGACATTGATTAAATGTACAAAAATCAACGTTTTTCCAATGTATGTAAAAACATTCCAAAAAGTTGATTGTTTATACAATCTAAACCCAACATTGATCCAATGTATATATCTCAACATTGATTCAATGTATATAAATCAATGTTGATCTAATGTATGTTAACACATCGCAAAAAGTTGATTGTTTTTACAAAATATTGCTATTGCGAAATTAGATAATTTAAATAAAATCTTACATGATTATTAAAATATCAAACCACAGTTAACACAAACATGATTTTTGTTGCTATAATCAAGCGTTTGTCTCCTTAAATTTATTTATTTAGACAAAATGTTTTAGTCATATGTATATGTGCATATGTGTATATATATATATATATATATATATATATATATATATATATATATATATATATATATATATATATATATATATATATATATATATATGTGTAAATATATATATATATATATATATATATATATATGTGTGTGTGTAAATATATATATGTGTAAATATATATATATATATATATATATATATATATATATATATATATAAAAGAGAATTTAATGAAAATTTTATTCCAAATACAACGTTTTGCCAGTTAAAGTTAAACGTTGGGACATCGTATAAAATAAAATGTTGAGTCAACGTAGAAAATATAACCAATTTCCGACTTAAATGACTAAATAAACGTTTTATCAACATTGGTTTTTAGTTGTTGGCGACATCACATTTGTAACCATAATGATATAAAAACAACGTTGGCAGCCGATGTTGGGCCAACGTAATGCGCGACATTGTTCTAATGTTTTAACAAGTGTTCCAAAAATTCTTATTCTTCAAATGTTTTTCCTTGAACATCAGTTATTCAATACTCGCTTCTTTCATTTTAAATTCTTGATTTATATAATTTGCAATCTTTTAAATTTTCTGTCAATGGATATCTCTGTAAACCTCATCTCTTTTCTTCCGGTAATTTCCAACTCTAATTGTGGTTGCTTGCAGCCTTGTTGGAAGTGAAAATGTTAGTTAAAAAAAAGAAAAAAGAAGAGATAGAGTAAAGTGGTGCTAAATGAAAGCACATAGAAGAATAATTAGTGGATTTAAACCTAGTTTCTTGACAAATGAGTGAATTCTTACTAATGCAGATGTGACCTTTGAAGTCTACACGAATTAAAGGAAGCTAACCATCATTACTAAGATTACAAGATGAAACATCCATAATTAAATTAGTCTCACAATAATCAAGTCGGTCTGGTGAACTTTGCAAGAGATAAAACTCAACAGAATAAAAGTTTTTTTCTTCAAAGACCATGAATATTTATGAATGGAAGACTTAGAGAACTTGGTGATGATGATGGTTTTTTGTGTTTTATATTTTTTTGTACTTGAGTCATTTTTAATTTTTTAAAAGAACTAGACTCAAAATGCACACTCAGTACACTATTTAATAGTCCAACCAATAGCCTCATTACTATTAATAAACTCTGAGCCTTACGAAAGGGTTCTAATTGAGTCTTGACAATGCACACAAAAGGCACCAACGGGAACACCATCCATACGTAACGTGGCACTGTTGGTCCTCTGATATTTTACAGCTGTTGATGGAATCAGCCTCCCTGATGGCTACCACAGAGTTCGGGACACCTAACTACCAGCCTGCTTAAAAACAATAAAACTGAGTTTTAGAGCTTTAACCTCTTTACGAGATAATGGGATCAGTAATAAGTTGGCTTTATAAACTTCATCTTCTCTTTTCTAGTAAGTTTCAATTTTTATAGTGGTTGCTTGCAGCCTTGTTGTAAGTAAAGATGTATAAGAAAAAAATTATAAATATACACACATATTTGCACATACATTATTAACCTGAATACCTTAAAACACAATGGTGAAAACAAACTATATACATTTTTTAACAAGGCTACTACAAAACACTTTTAAAATTGGAAATAAAGCTAATAATAATAATTAAACAGCTTAAGTTTAGCTAGTTAAAGGTAAAAGTGAGTTAAAAAACAAAAAGGAATGGTTGACAAGAAAATTAAAAAACTGTTAACTGCTTAAGTCAGAAAAACATGAACATAAGAACAAATTATTTTAAGTATAGGAAATTATTGTTAGAAAAGAATGCAACTTGACTTTAAGATTAATTTGACATTTGGTTTTATTTGGAATATTTAAAAAAATAACAATAATCATAACAATAATAATAAATAAGTTGTCAAAAAAAAAAAATTATCAACTTATAATAAATTCAGAAAGTAAATAATGAAACAAAAAATTACAGTAATAAAATTAAATAACAAAATATTTTAGAAATTTTCTAATAATTAATTTTATAATTTGATTTTGGATAAAAAAAATTTCTGAATTTTGAAATTTATTTTCATTAAAATTGCTCACTCCATAAAAAAAAAAAAAAATGTAAATCTACTCTGTGTAATTTATATAAATTTATAGACTTACTATTTCGAGAAACCTTTTGCTCTGCTAAAAAAAAGAAAAGAAATAAACCAACAACAGTTTTAAAAACTGATTAAAATAAGAAAAGAAATTATACACTTACATCTGTTATGTTTACATACACTAAGATCTGTTATAAACTATTTTGACTAAAATATTGTAACTAATAGTATTAAGGGGGTAAGGCTGTTATGATAGGATAAGATTTTAAATTTTAGCTAATTATATAAAAGATTTGCAAAAATCAACAAAATAATTAGTAAATAATAATTTTCGTTCAGCAGAAGCAATACTAAAATTATTGCTTAAATCTTGCTATTAAAGTCCCGATTCTATTGGATAAAAACCAGTAGAACCAGGACTTTTGTAGCAGGATTTGAAATTTCATATTCAACTGTAGCTATTGTATTATTTTGTATCCTTATATAACTTCTCTTCATTTTGAAATCCTTTTTTTGTTCATCTAATATATCATTATTTTTAATGCAGTTATGAACTCATTATTACAATACCCATTATTACACTTCTACTAATATATATATATATATATATATATATATATATATATATATATATATATATATATATATATATATATATATATATATATATATATATATATATATATATATATATATATAATGGTAACTTTTATGTGAAAAGTTATATTTTATAATGGTTTAATTGTTTGTTTATGGATTTTACTATTCAATGAACAAACATTGCTTAATCTTAAGCTCAAATTTATAGGATACAGAAATCTATATCGAGAAACAGTCATTATTATAACTATTAAAACAATTATTGTTAGCATGGTGCTATAATACCTTCAGAGTTTTGTACATAAGATTCATTCAGTTTTGTATAAGACGTGAATTAAGCTAAAATTCATGGAAAGTATGTAGTATCTTACGACGTCACAGCCTATAAACTAATATAAGTCTTTGAGAATCCATTAGTATTGCTGTTAATTCAATTTTAAGCAGTAATGATTATCTTAAAAATAAACAAAACCAATTTAAAGAAATTCTTCATCTTTGCAACATCGCAACTCATTTTTAGTTTAAAACACAGACTTTCGACTAAATAGATGGGCTCCCCGCTAGCTCCTGTTCTTGCTAATTATTTATGGGTAATTTTCAATAAAAGTGTCTAAAATTATAAAATTGAGTCAAGCAAGTATTTAACGAAAATTATGTTGATGACATTTTTGTCTTATTTTCATCAGAAAATGATGCATGCCATTTTCTTGACTATATCAATAAAATACATAATTCAATATCTATTACTATGGAAAAGGAATCTAATATCTCTTTCATTATGTGTGTGTATATATATATATATATATATATATATATATATATATATATATATATATATATATATATATATATATATATATATATACAAAATGATAACTAAATAGCTAAATGCTATTTAAAGATAAAAGTGAGTTTAAGAATAAAAAGCAATGGTTGTCAAGAAAATTTAAAAACTGTTAACTGTGTAAGTCAGAAAAACATGAATATGAGAACAAGTTTAAAAGAAAACCAAGATAAACAAAAACTTTTTGAGCATAAAAGATTAATGAAAGAAAAGAATGTAGTTTTACTTGAGGATTATTTTGATATTGGGTTTTTGTTGGAAAAAAATAAAATAAAAAGTTTTTTTCCTAATTATCAATATTATTATTAATAATAATATAAATAATAATAACAAAAATAACAATAATAATAATACGCTAATTTAATCGTAGTAATAGTCAACTTACGTCATTTTTCAGGCTTTTCTATTTTAAAGTAGTTTCTAGGCTTTTCTATACACGGTTTTATATTCCACGCGATTTTTCGAGCAAGATCTGCAAACAAATTTGAGTTGTTGATTAGAGCTGATATATTTTTATTATTATTCGTAAAGAATTGATGTTGTTTATTTATTTATCAATATTTTATATGTTCTTGATTATTTTTATTTGTTTTTTTTCTTTTTTTAGTAGAAGTTTTTAAAAAATAAAAAATGTCTGGTAAAGTAGTTTATTTAGTACATCATATTTTTATAACAGTGATTGTTTTTAGAACAACTATTGTTTTATTTTTCAGAACAATTCGAAACATTAGAAGACCTATTTAGTAAGTTTAACTAATTTTATTATTTATAAAATATTTTTTGTTTGGAGAAGGATTAATAAGAATAAAATTTTTTAGGCAGGCAAGCTGACAACCAAATAAGTATGTTTTATTATTTATCAACTAAATTATCAGATTAGTTTAAAGTAGAAATACCATTTTTTCTAATACCTATTGTTTTAATTTATTGTTTTCTAACTTTACTAACAATTACGTTATTAAATTAACAAATACGTTTTTGTTAAAGATTATTTTTGTTTTGATTTTATTGCTTATATTTTATTTTTTAGACAGACAGATAGATCTCATTAAGTTTGTTATTTTTGTAGATTTGAGAGCATTAAGCTTCTTTTTTATCTTAGTTTCATTGAAATAGCATTATATCATTGAATATATTTTATATTAGGCAAATATAAATTTTTTTTATTTAGGTATAGCTTCGGCAACTTTTACAAATGGTGATGTCTTTTATTTTATTAAACAAGAAGAGAGATTTATTTGAATATTTATTGTTTATTTGAACATTACTTATTATTTATTTTTTATTTGAACATTACTTGTTATTTATTATTTTTTTGAACATTACCATTTATTGTTTATTTGAACATTACTAAAATAGCTTTTTTTATTTATTTTTTTTGCTTTTTTTATTTAGTTATTTCTTTTGTACCATCAACCTCCCCAGGTTAATTTATACATTTAATTTTTAACAATAAAAAATGTTTATCATGCTTAAATAAATTATCTTTATTGATTTATTCATTTAATTTAGTTGTTTTATCTGCAGAATTGACCATCCCAAGTAACATAATACATTTACTTTGATTTTTTTTTGAAAAACTAGCAATAAACATTCTTTATTGGAACATTATTTTCAGGATTTAACACAATATATATTTTTTAAAAATTTATATATTTTTCATTTAGTTGTTTTAACTGTTTCATTCTCCACTTCTGTTAACTTGATACATTTTTTTTTATTTGTTACTTAAAAAACATTTTATTTCGATTTGTTACTTAAAAAAAGACAAGTAATAAATATTGTTTATTTGAACGTTATAATCAGGATTAAATTACCTTTTTTTAATATGATTTTTAATTAGCTGTTTTGTCGACATCATTAGTCTCTTCAGGTAACTAATTATTTTTTAATGCTTATTTTTGCTTGGGTCAAACATTTTCAAATCTTTATATTAGCATGTCAATATTTTTAGATATCAATAAAGTATCAAGTAAGTTATATTAGTATTCAGATTTCACTTTTTACTTTTTTTAAATAACAAATTAAATAAAAAGTTTATTTTATATATTTCAGCTGTAAGGCAACAGATTGGTAAGCAAAAAGATATCATATGTTTTTATCTTCCCAAAGCTTGGTAGGCTGTTAGAGTTAAGGATGGTACTTTAATTGCGGTTGCAACCCTTTCTCAACTTAAAATTAAAATTTTGAAAGACAAACATTGTAAAACAAGGCCGCTGTGCTAAGACACAAGCTAATTTCGGTACTACCATGTACATTTGACCTCATAACTCTCTACCACTATGCACAATAACCATGTAAAGTAATTATATTTATCAATAAATAAAATAATGTACTTACCAATATATAAAATTTTATACTTACCAATGTATATCTTATGATGAATATTCTAAAATATATTATTCAAGATATACTTAAGAAATCATAATATATTTTTAATTTTTTTTTTTAGTTCTTCTGCAAAGGCGAGTTGGTAAGTTGTACATATTGCTTTCATATTTTTAAAGGATTACTTTCATTTTACTTAACAATATTTTTAACATTTTTAACATTTATCCAAATGAATTGTCAACAATCAAGTTTTCCAATGGTAAAATTTTATTATGTCTTTTCTAAGTGCTTTTATTAAATTTTTAGCAAGTAGGACGAATCTGTAGATACATGTTTATTATGTTTAGGTATACAAGCTAAAGCCCCAAACGGTAATTCTAAATTCTTACTTACAATAATATTATCTGCTCTAATGAAGTAAAGAATTGACTATAAATAAAAGAATTAAGAAAAAATTATGGAGAATTAAGAAAAAATTATGGAGAACATCTTTATTCTAATTTTGCTCTTTCAGTTAAATTTATTAAAGTATAAATTAATTTTTAATTTTAGAACTTACGTACAAAGATTATAAGCATTATCAACTAAGCAAGTCTAGCCCTTTGACCCAAAGATCATTTCAAAGATGGGTGCAGCATGGGGGTCAGAACACCCATCATTTAGTTTGGGTGGTGAATACTCCCATACAGGGGTCGAAAGACTGGGGAAATAATAAAAAAATTTCATGTCTACAATTGAAATATTAGTAGACCTGAAAAATTTTGTAAATGTGTGTATATATATATATATATATATATATATATATATATATATATATATATATATATATATATATATATATATAGAAAGATATTATAAGGAACTGATTTTAATCATAGCTTTAAATCACAAACATCTTGTAAGCAACAATGGTTTTTATTTTATTATTAAATTCGTTTTTTGTGGTGTTCATCAAGGTTCTGTTATTGGTCCTTTTTTGTTTTTAATTATTAATTTTTAATTTAATTTTTGTCAATTCATTTGTTTGCAGACCATAGAAATCTCTTTCAACCTACAAATAGTATTTAACTTGGATCTAAAAAATATAATTTACTGGTTCAAAAATCATAAAATTGAGAGAATATTTTTTTTATAACAATGTGGAAATTAAAATCAAAATTGATAACAAAAAAATATATCGATCGAAGGTTAAAATGTTTTTGGTATATTTACTGCATTCTTTCATAGAACTTCCATACTAGATTTAATTTAGCAATCAATATGTTTTCAATTTTTTGTCTTTATGAAGTGTCAACCCATTGCAATAAAAACCCTGCAGCCGTTTAAATCATATATGTCAGAGTTCTTCAAAAAAATTTACATTCCAACTTTTCTAGCTAAAGTTTTTTCACAGAAAGTAGAATAGTATATTCATACTATTCTAGAAATATATATTTCTAAATGAGCCATCTTATAAAACTCCGAAGCATACCAAGCATTTTATGTGTCACGTAATGGAATAAGAGCTTTGTATGTGTTTTAAATAAGTTAAAAAAACCAATACTTTAAACACATTTATCATCTTTTCTTCAACTTTTACAAATTCAACTTCAAAAAACTCGAAAAATATATAATTCTTGAACTTTAAAAAAAACTTACAAACACAGCTTGCATTATTATGACTCAAAAACCATCCATCCATACAGGAGCACAAATAGCTACCATTGAGATTTTTACAAACAGCATTATTCCAAAAACACGGTGGATTTGTGCTATTACACTCATCATAATCTTAATAAACAATAATAACGAATTTGTATTTTAAACACTGGAAAATATTTGCTATAAATAAAAAGACTAATAAACTTTATATTGTCATAAGGTACGATAGCAATCAAAAATAAAACCTAAATATAAAATAAAATAAAACAAAAATATAAAAGAATAAAGATGATTAAAAACAAAAAACAAAACAATATTCAATGATAAAAAATGATAGTTTTTGATGAGATGATAATTAAAAAATGCCAATAAAAAGATGTATGTAGTATAATGTAGTATTTTGTAAGATAACAATTCTAAAACTTAACACACACACAAAAAAAAATTATTTTAAATTAAAAAGGAAGTTATAGTACTGATGAAGATCTGCGATATTACCAAATATATAATATTATACATTTCTAAGTTGTTACAAATAACAAAATCATCTTTTCATTTATCACAATACTGTCTCAACATATTTAATATTATTTCTTTTCATAATATAATACTGTCTTGTCATATATCATGTTATTATTTTGTCATTGTTATTTGATCATATATGTTACATTATCCTGATCAAAAACAGAAACTGTAAAATTTAATTTTGCTTTAACAAATGTACCAAAATCATATTTTTAAAAAAAAGTCAAAAAAAAACAACCTTGAAAACTATTATTTTTGGTTTTATTGGTTGTTATAAATTGTTTTCATATAATGTGATTTTTTAATAAAATTAGTAGAAAAAATTAATGCATTATAAATGCGTTTATATTAAAAGTGCGATGCAAGAAGCGAACTTGAAATTTTTAATCATACTTCAAGTCCAAATTTGACTTGAACAAATGCTAAGAGTGAACTTGAACTCAAAGTCTAATTTGAAAACTCGATTCTTACTAAAAAAATGGTCGTTCTATTGTTAGACTTGAAAAACTAAATTAAAATAGGAAAAATCTTTTCTGAATGCCAGAAGCAAACTTGAAATTTCAAGTTATACTTCAAATCTGTCTGGCTAAAGTCTAGCTAAAGCGTTATGCAAGAAACAAACTTGAAATGGATTCGTTCTTGAAAAATCTGATTTGAATTCATTTTTTTTTAAGTTAGGTATTGACCAAAAACTTGAAAAAACAAAAAAAAATGGCGATTATCATTTCGTATAATATGCGGTAAAAAGTTACATCAAATTTTTGTAAATTTAATTCATGAGTGAACAACTAATGAATCCTTATTTAATACTATATATACAAATTTCACCAGTTCAACTACTGTCAATATATATATATATATATATATATATATATATATATATATATATATATATATATATATATATATATATATATATATATATATATATATAATATATAATATATAATATATAATATATAATATAATATATAATATATAATATATAATATATATATATATATATATATATATATATATATATATATATATATATACATATACATATATATGTATATATATATGTATATACAATATACATTGTATATACATATATATGTATATGTATATATATATGTATATGCATATATACAATGTATATAGTACATACATATATATACTATGTATATATATGTATGTACTATATACATTGTATATATGCATATGTTTATGTATTTACACACACACATAAACTATGGAAATCAGTGTGGAAGTGAATAAAGTTTAGAAAAGTCGATAAGAAATGAGGCAGCCAGGTGGCTTCAAATTTAGTGCATTTTATATGTAATTATCTTTTTAGCTTCATGCAACCTTAGCTTCGGAGGTGTATTTGTGAATGTTAATTAATATATTTATGTTTTTGTTATAATTTTTTTTTTTTATAATTAAACATAAAGTCATGGTTTCATGTGTTATTAGTCTCAAAAATTTTAAAAAAAAGTATGGCGTGGGTATTGCTAAGATAATTATGCATGTCTAGGATCAAAATTATACCAATCTGGAGAACTGTCAAGGTCAAGGATACAACAACGATGCCAACATGTCTGGTCTGTACAAGCTATCATTCTTCATAGATATCCTCAAGCTTTTTACATGCTATGCAGCGCTCATACCTTAACCTAGCGGTATTCATTCCTTGAACCTTCTGTAGAAATGAAGAACTGTTTTGGCCGGACTCAACTACTCTACGCTTTTTTAAGTTGAAGTCTTATATGATGGAAATATTTGACCAAGACGACTAGTTTGTCTCTTGATTAAACTTCACAAACCTGATGGTTTGCACGCATGCACACATTGAGGCTGTGAAGTCGTTGGTTAAGCAACATAGAGAAAATCTTTTTTCTTTGGATAAATTTAAGGAACTTGATTTAACTGCTGATCTATTGAATGATGTAAAACCTTTGGATAAATGGATTCATTTAATTGTGTTTATCATCATGACAACCTTTTGGTTCAAAGCGTGTTAAGCAATTGTCTGAGTGTTATTTTAATCAGAAAACATTACTTTTCATGATGTGATGAAACTTATGAAGATTTTTATTGAGGATCTTACTAGATTTAGATTTTCTTGTCAGAATTAATTAGTAAATCCCAATTAACTGCCTCCGGTCTAGCTTGTCATGGATTTCAGTCAAAGTTAGTTCAAAAAAGGACAAGAAAGAGGAAAACGTTTTACCAAGAAACAAGGAACAAAATTCATTTCTATAAAAACGATGAAAAGCAGTTTTAGATAAATGTATTAAACACTGAACCCATTTTTCAAAACGCCTTAAGATGCTTTTTACGTATTTCTGGAAAAACGCAATTAAAAAACAATAATAAAAGAAAGACTTTATTAAACATTTTTTGAAATATAAAATTTGTATGAACTTTTTTCATAATTCTTTAAAAACATTTAATCAATAATAGTTGCAGGTATTTAAATAAGCTTATTTTCTAAAAAAGTCAATTTTGATTTTTTTTTTATATTAAGGTGTTTTGAAAAACGGCTGAAGAACACCGTTCTGGAGAACACCGTTCTTCAGCTTCAGCGTTCTGGTCTTTAATTTAACAAATAAGAGAAATAAGAGCTGCAGGAAAATTGTGAACAGTTTTTTTTTCTTCTCTCAGAATCTAATTGTAGGTCGAGTGAAGAAAAAGAAATTGAACCACCTAACATGGAAGAGAAATGTAAAACTTTGGCGCAAATCTATCTAAACAATATGATGATGAAGACAAACTTATTTTAGAGGTCGGTCATCTGGATACTATAAAGCACGCCAATCATTTCAGTCCAAAAAAATATTTCACTTCAATGAAGCTATTAAAAGGAATCTATCGAAAAGGGCTAGTGTTTATCCTTGAATCAATATGCATTTTGTTACGTGTTTTTAAAATTCTTTCTTTGATTCTTGTTTCTATCGCCGAAGGAGAGCGGTCTTTTAGTAAGCTTGGTCTAGACAACACTAAGTTCTTCAATGAGTCAAAACTTGCTTACCAGTTTCTAAACTATATATATTGAAAAAAATCTTGCAAAAAAATGTGCTATGACGAGGTCATTCCAAATTTTTGCTTTATGAGAATTTGAGTCAAATTAATATATCTATTATATTTATAACTTATAGTTAATCACAATATAACAAATAAGTAAGTTATCAACTTGGACTTCTTTTTTTACTTTTATTTCAAATTTATTTAAAAAATAAATAGAAGCCTCCTCGACTGAAGTTATCCCAATCTGATTTTTAAAATAAATTAAATTTTTAAAAAAAGAGACTTAGAATATGGACAGTATCTAAACTTTTTTGATTTATATCATTATGACATGGCATTAGGTAAATTTTGACCCCAGGAATCATAAAAAGTAGCAGCAGGCCTATATATATATATATATATATATATATATATATATATATATATATATATATATATATATATATATATATATATATATATATATATATATATATATATATATATATATATATATATATATATATATATATATATTTAAAGAGGTCCCTCAAGACCCTCGGATTAATAATGGGTGCCTAATATTGAAGCCAATTTATATGAAAACATCAAAAATAGTATTCATTAAAAAAAAATTGTTATCTTTGGTTTTATTATTTAAAAAATTACGTTTTTTAACAAAAAATTAAAAATATGCAATTTTTATGTTTTTTTTTTATGATAATTTTGATAAATAATTTAAATTTTTTTGAAAAAAAAAATTTAAGTTTTATTTCTATCTAATTTTGATTCATTTAAGTACCAAGTTGACATATTTTTGAATTTTTTTTTTTAAAATATTTTGGACCCATAAAATATTCGAGGGTCTTGAGGGACCACTTAAAATATCTTTTATTCAAAAAAATTTAAACCTAGTGTTTTTGTATTAGATAGAACACATTTAAGAAGTGGGATTAGGTTTTTCTCAAAAAAGTTGTTTAAGGGCCACCCTAATACATATATATATATATATATATATATATATATATATATATATATATACATATATATATATATATATATATATATATATATTTATTTTATTTTAATTCACCTCCTCAAGGCCGAGAAGGCCACTACAGACGAGGAGGCTACTTATTTGTGGTTATAACCCTCTCTCAACTCTATAACTCCGAAACACGAACCTTGACAAGCAAGGCCGCTGCGCGGAGAAACGAGTTGAGCGTGGTACTATATATATATATATATATATATATATATATATATAATATATATATATATATATATATATATATATATATATATATATATATATATATGTACTATAGTGAATATATTAGCTATTGTTTCATTTTACAAAATTAAAGTTTTTTTACATGGGGTTTTTTTAGGTGGGGTTTAAACCACAGATCTTACGTTTCTGAGGCAAGTGTGCTACCACTGCGCCACAGCTGCTTATATATGTATGTATATATATATATATATATATATATGTATTATATGTATTATATGTATTATATGTATATATATATATATATATACATATATATATATATATATATATATATATATATATATATATATATATATATATATATATATATATATATATATATATATATATATATATATATATATATATATATATATATATATATATATATATATATTGTTGTTTTATTGTACCAAATTAAGATACAAAAGTCTCTTGTTCGTTTGAGAGTGATCAATATAATGTAAGTGTTTACAAAATAGATCAATAATAATAATAATAGAGTTTGATTATTTGAAAAAATACAACTTTTTGATGGTACTTGAAGTTTCATGCCTTTCGGCAATCATCAGCCATATTTTATTCTTTTGAAACAAGAAAAACCGTTAAAAAATACAAAATACAAAAATTAACAGAAAAAACAATAACAAAGCAATAGAATTAGTTCTGACGTCAAAACAAAATTTTTAATTAGAAAATTGTTTAATCGGCCGTGTCGATTAAACAATTTTCTCGCCCCTTTTCTCTAATTCATATACTGACCAAATGACCGCCCTTACGAAAATATTCCATGGAAAACCCATGGAATTCCATGAGTAAACCATGGTTTCCCTATGGATAATGGTGAATTTCATGAAAATTGAAATCCTTCGAAATTTGGTGAACCATGTTTTTTTTTTAAAGCTTATGCTGCGCCATGGTTGTTAGGAATGCGCTTTTAAAGATGGCGTGTAGAATTATGATTACCTTTAACTTGAGTAAACAATACATACTGCATTCTTCTGTTTATTTGTGTTTAATATAAATTATATGTTTTTTATAATGCATCACATTTATATGATTCAAACTAAACATACAGACATAAACAACTAGATATATTTATCATATTATAATGCATTGTAAAATGGATTATTTTTAATTATATTTAATTATATATCATTTATGATACAGTACAGACGCATTTATAAATGTCCTTAATGTTTTTATCATTAAAACTTGAAGTTATTATAAAATTTATATATAATATTTTTATCAAATAGTTAATATAAAATAACAAACATGTAAATTGTTTTATTTTCTGTAAAAATTGTTTTCTTGATATATTTCAATTGTTTATCACTATGTATATCACTCACTTATAGTATTATATTACTTGTAATTTTTTTTTAAATTTATTTTCAGTATGTTATACATATGCATGAATTAAACATTGTGGGGAAGTCAAGTTTTGATGTTTTAGGTGCATTATAGCTATTATTTTTCAAAGATTTGTAGGATTTAACAAGTTTTAAATTTTATTTTGTTTATTGATTTTATTTCGAGAAAGCGGTCCCATAGATTAAGAGAACTCAATAATACTAGTGTGATAAAATTTGCTTTTATGATTTAATATGACAATTCAAATAACATTAGATCGAAAAAGCTTGAAAACAAATCATGCTTTTTTACCATAAAAAATCCATGAGTTTCCCTTGGAAAGGTGTTCCTAATACCTAAGGAAGTTCCATGGTTTTTCCATGGATGGAATATCATTGAATATCCATGGTATTTGGAACACTTTTCAACGAAAAACTCATGGATTTTTCATGGGAAACTCATGGGTTTCCCATGGAAAACTCATGGGTTTTCATTGAAAACTCATGGGTTTCCCATAGGAAACTCATGGATTTCCATGGAAAACTCATGGGTTTCCCATGCAAAAGTGTTCCAAATAACCATGGTTTTTCCATGGTTTCTTTAAAGGGTTTTTTCATGGAAAATTTCCGTAAAGGTGCATCTTTCCTTTCACTTCAATAATACAAGTCAGCTCACACTGAGAACCAATTTAATACAAAGCATCTTCTAATCTATACAGATTTTGACCTTACAGTCCTATTGCAGACTTGTTAACCTTTGCAAAAAAAGTAGGTTCTGTCGTGCGTTAAATAAAATCTAACTTGTATTAACCATTTTATTTAAACTGATTATGTTTTTTATCTCTATAAATATTATATTGATGTTAAATTTTTCATATTTGAATTTCTTAAGCGCAACCTTGAATTTTTTAAGTTTCGTTTACATTTGCTCAAGTTTTTTAACTTGACTAAGTCAGACTTTAAAGTTCATTTTGTATTTTACTCAAGTTTGCTTCTTGCATTCCACCTTTAAATAGTTCACAAAAAGACCTATCAACAATTCATTTATTATAAGGTTATTATTTTATAATTTCAATTTCTTCACAATTATTTCTGACCTTCATCTCTATAAAGTTAAAAAGGAAGAAAGCTGTAATGCCGAGAGTTCAGTACAATACTAACAGAGACTTAATGTAGCATATACAGGTATCAAGTTGCTTCAAACTCTTTAACCCTCACCTACAAAGCAAATGCGGTGCTGCAAATTTCAATGTATTTTAACTTTAACAATTAATAGTATACGTTGTTAAAATTTACTAATGGAAACTTTTATTTTAAACATGATTTTAACAAATCAGTTGAAGCAATAAATATAATAAAAATCATGATTTTCAAAAAGTATTTAGATTAAAATTCGAAAACAAACTTACCCACACAGCTAGCATTATCATAACCTAATTGCCATCCATTCAAACAAGTGCACATATAACTACCATTAAGATTTTGGCAAACTCCACGGTTCCAATGACAAGGGGGATTTGTATTATTACACTCATCATAATCTTAAAAAAATAAAAACTCTACAAATAATGTAAAACATTCTATACACAGAGTTTTTCTTTCAAATTGCACATTGTCAAAATAGACAATTTTTTTTAAAAACTATTTTAAACAAAGGAATATTTTTTTAAGTTCAAGAGTTGAGATTATTGTTTTTAAACCGTTTCATTGGTTCAAAATTCTTTTTAAAAAGATTATCAAACAATGGAAGTTTATGATATTCATAATCAAAAATAACATGTTACAAATCATGATACTCCCAATAAAAAATAACATGTCACAGTTTGTCCAAAGTGTAATGAAATATTACACTCTTCACAAACTCTCTATATAAACATGCGCAAAAAAAAGAAAAAAAATGTTAGTTTAAAGACTTAAAATGCTTTCAAGAATTTAATTTCAAGGTTTACACATATAAAAAAAAATCCTTATTTTATTTACAAACTATAAAAACACTAAAAAAGAACAAATACTTAAAAAAACATTTTTCTAAATTACTCACCCAAGCAGCTTTCATCATCCAAAAACCATCCCTCCATACAGGAGCAACTGTAGCTTCCATTTGTATTTATACATACGCCGTTTTTCCACGAACATGGGGGATTCAAGCTTTTGCACTCATCATAGTCTCAATAAAAAAATTTTATTATTAAAAGTTACATTTTCATTATATTAAAATAAATGATTTGATTAAGCTATAATCACAAGCAAATAAAATTTTTTTAAAAGTATAAAATGCAGCATTCCGCACATTATTTAAAAATTTATTTTTTAAAAAACAACAACAAAAACACAATTAGTTAAAATAAACTTTTTAGTCATTTTTATTGACTTTTTTTTACCATAAAAGTGTGTTTTGACTACACTGCAAGGATATATATTTACACACATCAAAATATATATATATATATATATATATATATATATATATATATATATATATATATATATATATATATATATATATATATATATATATATATATATATATATATATATATATATATATATATATATATATATATGTATTTATTAAGCCTGACCAGAAAATGTTAAAAACTAAAAAAACGTTTTGTTTTTTTTAAATGATAGACTGTCTGCCCAAACCAAACCTTCAGTCGATGTAGAAGCACTTTCTTGCGAGTCAGTCTATTTGTCAGTCAATGTAGCAGCACTCCCTTGCGAGTCAGGCTATTTGTCAGTCGATGTAGCAGCACTCCCTTGCGAGTCAGGTTATAAGATAGTCGATGTAGCAACACTTCCTTGTAGCAGCAGGCTATAAGATAGTTGATGTAGCAACATTTACGCTTATTTTAAAAATGTTTTTTAATAAAACAAAAACAAAAACACTGCTAATTAATAAAAAACTTCTAGTCATTATTATTGCGGTTTTTTTAAAAATAAATTAAATTTTATGTACTTCCGCATTAATTTAATTGCTTTGATATTTCGACGACAATAAAAAGCAGCTTAAGAGACAAGGTAAAAAAGTTGTAGTCTCTTTCGACTACCCTATAAGGATATATATATATATTTATATATATATATATATATATATATATATATATATATATATATATATATATATATATATATATATATACACATATATATATATGTATATATATATATATATATATGTATATATATATATATATATATATATACATATATATATATATATATATATATATATATATATATATATATATATATATATATATATATATATATATATATATATATATATTGTTTCATTTTATGAAATTAATGTTTTTATATATATATATATATATTTAGTATTTTTAAGTGTTTAAGATTTTAAGAACTTTAACGACTTCTACAAAATTTTACCAACTCAGCCATTAAATAGGTTTTAGACGCTCGTCTGCACATCCATGTTATACAAGGTAATACCTCATACTATCAGTACTGTTGTGACAGTGGAATGTTGTTTGGGAACTTGTTTGAAATATCGCTTTAGAAATAAACCTAAATACTTTCATAGACATTGTATCTTGCTTTACTCGCATCACTTCCTTTGAACATATGATCTTTAAGTAAACGAATAAATGTAAAATTATAACCAAGAAAATGTTTTCAAAGCATCAACAAGAGATGTTTTAGGAAAGTCTAAATTAGTGACTCAATTCTTTTTATAAATACTTAGTTTATTAAACAATAAAAGCATTAATAATCGAAAAGTTTCAACACAGCAAATCTTTTTTATTAATAAGTTAAATGAAGAACTCAACCTGAAAAATAAAACTATTATCTTTAAAATAGAAATACTCTTTTAAAACATAGAAATATTCTAATAAAATATTCCTAATAATTCCGTTTATTAAATTGATGTATTAATATGTAACTTGTAAATATCTTTAAAAATTTTTATTTTAAAGTCATAATATATATATATATATATATATATATATATATATATATATATATATATATATATATATATATATATATACATATATATATATATATATATATATATATATATATATATATATATATATATATATATATATATATATATATATATATATATATATATATATATATATATATATATATATATATATTTTTTTTTTTGGCTTATCTGGTACCTCAAGTTTTCTGATAATATTAGAAGATCTTACTTCAAATATGAATTTGTTTTGACGCATTTTGTGGCAAAAAGTTGTCTCTTGTTAGGATATTACAGTTCATTCAGGCCTGTTTTAACAGTCTTCTAATCCTCTGTTTATTTAGCCGAAGTTACAATCTTAGAGGAAACAACCATGTTTTTATCTTACCCTTGTTCATTTTGAGTTTGCATTGTTTACAAGGTTTTTTTTTTTTTTTAAAGTTATTTAAGGTGCCGCAAGAAGTCCTTACGGTCTTATCACAGAATACCGCAGAAGAGCATTTTTTAATTTCAACGGTCGAAAAGGAAAACAGTCATTTGATAGTTGTTTACTCTGCCAAGTAATTATTAGAAAGTTTTTAAAAAGATTTATATAAAATGTTATAAATAAATTTTATATTTACATTATTTAAAATTTATAAACATATTATGTTATAAACCTGACTACTATTCATACTTGTCAACTAATCGACTGTTGACAAAGTGAGCAACCTAAACAAGTACAAACAATAGTAATGTTTAAGTATAGGTACAGTACTTCTTTACTTAAAGAAGTTACACTTGTTTTGTTTAATACATTTTTATGTTAAAATATTTAGTAGTTTTAAAAGAAATCACTAGTTATATTTTATATACTATTCATTTATATTATATTTTCATATAATATTTACAATGAATCATCAGGTATTCAGATGAAAGTGAATGGCAGCAACATGCGGAAAGTGCAGCTGCTAATATTATTGACCTACTATCTGCAAGTTAAGTGAATCCGGCTTATATTTCATCAACTGGCAGCATGCATTTTGAATAATGGTCAGTAGAAGTTACAATCCTTTAGTTAATACTTTTTATAACAATTACAAAAACAAAAGTATTACTATTTTTACAAGAAACTTAAAATAATTTTACACTTATTAGGTTTACATACAAATTTTGTGGGCGAAACCTGCTAGACAGCAAAATGTTGAGTTGAAATTAATTCATAAAGTATGTATGCACTTTTATACAGAATGAGAAACCACAACAAATAATTTTGCTCCAAAATGAAGTTTATTTAAGTTAATTTTTTAAATGGAGATTTTTCCTTTTGTAAAAAAGTGTGTAGCTACTTAATAGACAATCCTTTAATAAGAATTGTTATTTTGTTGTTCCTATATAACTTACTTTCAAGATTCAACTATAATTTTAAAAGTTTAATATATACTTTTTTTTTTAATGTGATATATGAAATGCTTAATTATCACTAAAAAACAATCATGTACCATATACCATTTAATGGCAATTAGTTAGGCAGTTAACATTTTGAATACTTTTATTAACTATTGTAAATATATTATTTTAAACTTTAATAAGACGCTTGTAAAAAGATCGTCAAGGGTGCAAACAGATAAAGGAAGAAGTTAAAGAGATTTTAAAACATGCTCCTAATCGACCAGATGGAGTTAACTAAGAGTTACATTAAATTTTTTTTTTTTGCTTTCATAATGTAAAGTTTATTCTTAGATACATCTAAGTAAATTTTTACTAGTAATGCATATTATAGTGTTAATCGTTTAGTCTTTATAATAAAAAATGCTATTGTATTTATTTAGACAAAACTTACAGCAAATATTCGAAATAAAGATGTGTTGCAGCGACATTTTGAAGAAAGTTCTGACAGTATGGGCTAGCATATGTTATGTTATATGTTATATGACCAGATCAAAAAGTTTTAATTGTTAAGTGGCTAGATGTTTAAATATTATTAATTGAAAAAAAAAAATTCCTTAAAATTTGAAAGCATTATTCCTATGTTAGGTAACAGCATAATTTACTTAAAATTTCAACGGTGTCCTTAAATTGAAAAAAAAATCCTTTTAAAGTAGGTCAACCTAGAACTCAAAATAATATAAACTTTTATTTTTGATTAAAAAACTATGGTTTTTGTTTAATTAAATCTAAAAGAGTAGTTATATTATTAAATGATTATTAAATTGAAATTTTTATACAATTTCACTACTTTGAAGATGTTACATGATACTTTTGAGTTTTTGTTTTTAATATTAGAGACCGGTTAAATAGTAAAGTTAATTATGCTGTCCCTAAAACACATTATTGTGAACTAATGTCATTCTTTGTGTATATATAATTCATAAATAAAACTAGTTTGTTTATCAAATCCACATTAGGCCTTTGTTTTTAATAAGGAATTGCTTTCATTTATTATAAAGTATGGTAAGGGGTAGTATTTTACACACAACGTGCATGTTTTTTATGTTTTTAGTGGAAAACTTTTCTCCTGGAATAACATGTATTTATTTTTTATGTTGTTGATGCTGTTTTGTAAAAATTTAGTTTAAATTGATGTAAATTGTTAATTATGTCTTATAGGGCACTAACTAGTACTAATAAATCAAATTTTCATCGCAAGAAGTATTATTTTTTTAATTGTAATCAGCTCAGCTAATTGTGTGGATTTGCTCGAAATGTATATTAAATTGTAAATGTAATAGTTAAATTGTGGGTTTTCGTTTAAGCTTCACATGGTGCAATTCAGCTGTAAATCATGGTGAATTTGTATTTAATAAGTAAAAATAGGTTATGTAAATTCAAAAAAAGCCATACATTACAATTGATCAATTAACGTTTGCAGCATACGTTATGCAAACCTAAACGAACGTTGCGGTAACGTTTTTCAAACGTTATATTTTAGCTGGGGTGGACATTCAAGAGCTAACAAAGTAACGTTTGCAGCAAACGTTAGATCAACGTTCGTTGTTTGTTGTTTGAACATTCACAGCAAACGTTCAAGAACTGTAAATCGGAGCTCATAAAAGTTGGTTCAAAGAACGTTTGGAGCGTACTTTATTTAAACCAAAACAAACGTTATGGTAACGTTCTTAGAACGTTAATTATTAGCTAGGTTGCCGCTATTGGTTGCACAGTTTTTGTTCCTATTGCACCTTAAAATCAATGACTTTTAAATTTTTCAAGTTTGACTTTCTCAAGCGCAACCTTGAAATTTTTCAAGTTTTGTTTATACATTTAATCAAGTTTTTCACCTGACAAAGTCAGACTTTAAAGTTCAAGTCAAACTTTCCTCAAGTTTGCTTCTTGCATTCCTCCATTATTTAGTTGACAAAAAAGGCAAATCAACTATTCATTCATTATTTATATTTTTATAATTTTATATTTTTGTAATTTCAAATTGTTACAACTACTTCTAACCTGCATCTCTATAAAGTTAATAAGGAACAAGGCTGTAATGCAGAGAAATAGTTCAGTGCAATACTAACAGGGACTAAAGGTACCATATACAGGTACCAAGTTGCATCAAACTCTGTGCCCCTCACCTACAAAGCAAATGCACTGCTGCAGATTATTGACTTATTTAACTTACTATATTAATTTAACTACTTGAAACTGAATTGACTAAATTAAAACAGTTTATACAAAATATTTTTCTAAATAAAAAGTGAGTTCTTTAAATGAGTAATGGTCATGGAGCAGGCATATAATGAAAATATCAGTAATCATACATAATAGATTTAACTGCAAGTATAATAAAATTATTAAAATCTAGTTAAGTTTATTTCAATGTATTTTAACTTGAAAAATTTATAGTATATGTTATTAAAATGTACTAATGGAAACTTTTTATTTTAAACATGATTTTAACAAGTCAGTTGAAACAATAAGTATAATAAAAACCATGATTTTCAAAAAGTATTTAGAATAACATTCGAAAACAAACTTACCCACACAACTAGCATTATCATAACCTAAATGCCATCCATTCAAACAAGTGCACATGTAACTACCATTAAGATTTTGGCAAACTCCATGGTTCCAATGACAAGGGGGATTTGTATTATTACACTCATCATAATCTTAAAAAAATAAAAACTCTACAAATAATGTAAAATTTTCTATACATAAAGTTTTTCTTTCAAATTGCACATTGTCAAAAATAGACGACTTTTTTCTCTTTTTATAACTATTTCAAAAAAGTAATTTACTTTTGGTTCAAAAATTAGGATGATTGTTTTAGCCGTTTCTATGGCTCAAAATGCTACTTAAAACGAATATCATACAATGGAAGTATATGATATTCATAATAAAAAATAACATGTTACAAATCATGATATTCACATTAAAAAATAACATGCCACAGTTTGTCAACAGTGTAACAAAAAAATTACACTCTTTACAAACTGTCTATATAAATCTGCTAAAAAAAAAAAATTAGTTTAAAGAGTTAAAATGCTTTTTAGAATTAAATTTCAAGATTTACACATTTAAGAAAAAATCCTTATTTTATTAACAAACTGTAAAAACACTAAAAAGGAACAAATACTTAAAAAATCCTTTTTCTAAATCACTCACCCAAGCAGCTTTCATCATCCAAAAACCATCCCTCCATACAAGAGCAACTATAGCTTCCATTTGTATTTATACACACACCGTTTTTCCACGAACATGGAGGATTCAAGCTTTTGCACTCATCATAATCTCAATAAATAATTTATATTATTAAAAATTGCGTTTTAATTATATTAAAATAAATAATTTTTTTAAGCTATTAACACAACCAAATAAAATATTCAAGAGTTTATAAAAGCAGCATTCTGCGCATGTTGTAAAAGTATTTTTTAACAAAACAACAACAAAAACACCATTAGAATAAACTTTTTAGTCATTATTATTGTGGTTTTTTTTAAAAAAAATAAAATTTAATGTCCTTCCGCATTAATTTAAATGCTTTGACATTTCGAAAACAATATAATGCAGCTTAAGAAACAGGGTAAAAAAAATTAAAGGCAAAATAGACTTATTTTTACTATAGAAGTTTCTTTCGACTACACTGTAAGGATATATATGTAAACACAAGGCCGTACCGAGCCAACTTTGCGCTTTGGGCAAGAAAGAAAAATTGCCCTTCTCTCCTCCCCTCCTTTTAAAAAAATAAAATTAAAAAATAATTTATTAATCACAAAATTTATCATATCAAGTGTAAATTACAATTTCTCATGAATACTGCACAAACTAGCTTTTTTTGGATCCAAACTCACTAATGATGTCATCAAAATTAAGGTTGTCAACCACTTTATGTTTAATTGAAACTATAGCCAGACTAGACAAACGTTCTTGGCCTATAGTTGACCTCATCTAGTTTTTAATAAGTTTAAGTTTACTGAAAATTCTTTCACACGTAGCAACTGTGAGTGGTATGGTGAGGAGGATGCGAATAGCAATTGCCATATTAGAATCAGCTAATAAATATTTATAAATGAGTTGCAAAATGTCAATAAGGCTAAATTTTTTGAAGTTGTCCATCATTGCAGTAGCTTGATATTTCAAACTTGTCATTTCTGACTGAAAATCAGAAAAATATAAATCTGTCGTGTAAATCTGAGATAAGTTTTTGGCTTTTGTCTTAAGTTCATCCGCAGAATTTTTAGATAGTAAACGCCCACAGAGGAAGTCAAAATCAGAGGCTGACTCACAAAAAGAATGGATGTGAGCTAGGACGCCATTGTTTTTTATAGACATATTGGCTCCATTGTCATAACCTCAGCCGCCGCATTAAGAAATCTTTAGACCGTCTTTCTCTTATTTTTCAGTGATCTCTGTTGCAAGACTTTTTCCGGTTTTTTGGTGAAATTCAATGAAGTCAACAAAGCTTTCCTTGATTGTACAGGCTTCATCATTGATGTGGAGATACCTAGTTATTTGGGTCATCTGCTCTTTATGGGAGGAATCTGGAGTGCAGTCAAACAAAACCGAGTAGTATTTAGCTTCTTTGATGTTTTACAATATTTCATTTCTGACTTTCTGCCCAAGTAACTGTAACTCAATCAACTCATTTTGTATTCGAGGAGAAAAGTAGGACGTTGTAGTTTTCTTTGCTTTGACAGATACAATGTGTTCAGCCACTAAAAGATAATAATTGCTTATTAGCTCAATCAAGTTTGTTAAAATGACGATGTCTTCTGTTGCGCCTCAAAGGGTAAGATTGTTCCTGGCACAAAAAAATTTACATCAACAGTCACTTTGAAGATGTCTCTTCAATTTTCTATTTCTCCATTGATAACTCTCTGCAGATCAAAATCTATGGTCTTTCCTTCTTCGAGGTTTTTTTTGAGAATTTTCCAATCAGAATAGCATTTTTGGTGTTCATTACTTTTTTCATGTTCAGGAACTCTTGAATTTAGTGTTTTCCAGTCACAAAGTCCTTTTGAAATTTATGAGAAATTGTTGGTTTTTGCTGTTGAAAATAACAAACAGCAAAAACAAAACAATGAACCTTTATTATTGCTGTACAACAACCAATGGCGAACACATTTTTCACCATTAGGATGAATTTTTTCATACCATTTTGTGCTGAAGTGTCACTTTCTGTTATCAAAATCACACAGCGTGTATGGAAAAATTGTCTTCTTTCTTGCTCTGGCCGCTGTTGAATCATCTTGAATCATCAAAAATCAAGCACCTTATGTTTTCCGTTAGTTTAAGTCATGTTGCTGGATCCCTGTATTGAAAGTATTTTCCTAAGGTTAGCGGAATATCTAATACTTCTAAATGAATTTCATTGTGATCTTATTCAGCCTTGTCAGAAAACTTGAAATTTTCATACTGTCTTGTTTTTTCTGAATTATTTTTGCAAAATTTTTCTTGACTTTGCCTAATGAAAATTTTCCCTTTAATTAATTCCAAATTGTCATCTGAACTTAAGTCATTAATTTAAACTGTTTGAAAAACCTTATCTGTTGGATTTTCATTAGCTTCAATAATAAAATAATTTGGTTTTCCTCTACAGAGTTAGTTTTCAACCACTTCTTAAAACAATTTTTTACTTATTCATTGTTTTCTAGGCGCTGTTTTTTTTCTTCTTAAATTGAGCGCCAGATAATTTTTTGGTGCGATTCGTTATAGAAAATTAATGTTCACTATAGTTAATAAACATATATGTTTTGACTAAGTTTTGAAAACCAATATTGCGTTTTTTGCAATCCAAAAAATCATCCTAATGAAATGTGGTTTTCTGTTTTTTTTCCTTTTAAAAGATTTTGTAAAACGATTTAAATTTATTTCTTATGATAGGACTTTTCAATTAACTGTCCATTCATAAGTAATACGATTAACAAAATCAACTTAAACTTATAAAATATATACTTAAATAAACTCCAACTTATAAAACATAAACTTATACAAACCTCAACTTACATAAACTCATTTAGTGTGTAGATCTGCTCAGTAAATGAGCTTTTATAAGTTAGAGTTTTATGTAAAAAGGCCCTAATTTTAATTTATTTTTTTATCAACTTCAAAGAGATGGCATAAAAATTTGTTTCCAAATAAAAATGATTTTTTTTTATTTATTAATTTTTCTAATCTAGTTTACTTTTAATTTATTTGTCGGGATTTTTGCGCCCTCTCAAGTATAGAGCCTTGGGCCGCGGTCCGGTTGGCCCCTCCATTTGTACGGGCCTGTGTACACACACCTATATATATATATATATATATATATATATATATATATATATATATATATATATATATATATATATATATATATATATATATATACACATATAAATACATATATGTATATATATATATATATTTATATATATATATATATATATATATATATATATATATATATATATATATATATACAAACATATATATATATATATATATATATATATATATATATATATATATATATATATATATATATATATATATATACATATATATATATATATATATACATATATATTTATTTATTTATTTATAAATATATATATTTTGTATGGGCCTATGCACACACACCTAAATATATATAAATAAATAAATTTTTTTAGTGGACAAAATTCATAACTAATTTAAAATTAGAGCTATACTCACTAAAGTTAGCACGAGTACTTATATGGTGTCTGCGCTTTTTATGAAAGTAATTTTTTTTCCGTTGCTTTGGATACTTTAATTTTGCTTAGCAACAACCTATTTTTGTTTCAGCAGATGTTTTAAAAGTGCAATATCACCCAAATTTGGCATGAGTAGCAATATGAAATCACACTTATTATAAAAGTGATATGTTTTTTAATTTATTTGCTATTTATACTTATATTGCTTACTTAACAGATACTTTCCTTTGTTATGAATATGTAAGTTGATATTTGAATAATATATCGGATTTTCGACCAACCGATATTAAATAAGAATTGAGTTTTTAGATTAATATTGTTTTTGCAATAATAAAAACAAAAAATTAGTGCAAGAAAATATTGTCAGTTTTAAGTTACATAAAAAATTATAAAACAATAACATTGTCTAAAAATTGTTTAAGTAATTGTAAAACATCTGAAAGAAATGCTTTATGATTTTATCAATGTGATATTGATTTACGTAGTGATGAAATAACAGGATAACTGGAAAGTAGAAGTCTATTGATAAGATCAGTATTTGTTGCTTTTCTGGATGTTTTTTGGTTGAACGTTTTCCAATAAGATTTGAAATCTTTTTTCGAGCTTCCTCTGACATAAGTCCGATGAGAAATGTAAGGATTTTATTTATGTCATGTCAATGTATGAGTATTTTATGAACTAATTGTGATATTTATTATCATGGATAAAAAGACACATTTAGTCTAACAGTATCGAAACAATAATCCTTGAATTTTAATATGTCTATTTCATATTCTGAAAAGAATGTTACCAAGATAATTTAAAATCTAATTATAAGGTTTTCATCAATACCCTGAAATTCATCTATTTGTTCATATGCTGCAAAAGCAAGCCTTAAGGTATTGCCATTATTGCTTGTGTGAGAACCACCACTATTAAGGAAATCAACAACAATTCCCATTTTGTACATAAAATCAGTCGAAATCTTTTGTTTAGCTATAGATGCCTTTTCTTTGCGTTAGTTAGATTTTAATTGCCACTTTTTTGTTTCTTTTTTATATGCAATGTGCAAAACCATCTCAAAAAATTGAATCCATGCATGAAGAATGGAAAGACCATGTTTGAACTCTCTGTTAGTATAATCTATATTAAAGATATCAAGACTATTCATATTTTATGAAGAGACACCACGCACCAAGCAGCATTGGTATGAATTAGTTTTTTTTGAGAATATTGTTTGAACTATCCCATTAATCATTGTTAGTTCAATAATAAAATTCACTTTATTAGAAGAACGGCAAATCTCTTGTATTGAAATCATACCCAAGCTTTCTATCTCACATTTAATGTACTGATCTTCTTCAAATGCAGATTCCTTGAAATTCATTTTGTAAGCAAACCTATTGGGTCTAAAATAGGCTGTGGATGACGACTTTAGATTCTTCCAAATAGACACCTTTTCATTACTGTTGCTAAATCCAGTCAAATCCAATGGAACCAGACAAGTAATAAATAACGATTCTTTTCACTTGAAATCTCTGTTCATGTCAAGGTCTGATAAAATTTTTTTTTTTTTTTTTTTTAAACATCTTCACTTCCAACAAGGCTGCAAGCAACCACTATAAGAGTTGGAAGTTACTGGAAGAGAAAAGACTAAATCTGTAGAGCAAGATAACGATTGACTGATGACTTAAAAGATTGCAAATTATATGAATCAGGAAAGCAAGATGAAGGAAGCGAATTCCAAAGAACTGATGTTCGAGGAAAAAAACTAGAAGAATAAGAGTTTTTGAAGCACTTAGGAACAGTCACAGAAAAAGGATGAGACTTAATTGAATGGCGAGTAACACGAGAATGAATTTTAGTAGATGGCACAAGGGACGCTAGCTCTTTAGAGCAGTGCCCATTATAGTTCGTTTCTCCTTTCGTTTATCCTTGCTTCGACCAGTAGCACCATCAAAACCAGCCTTACACGTGAGTGTCTATGTTTTTATTGCTTTGTTGTTCATTATCAAGTGCCTCAGCATTGATCCAGATTCTTTGCAAAGTATGAATCATTATATCTTTTAAAGGAACTGTTGCTAAATAGTCCTTCACGGTTTTATTTGAAGGATAATATTTCAATTTTGCATCTCTGACATCCTTGTAAGCGGAGTAGAGGTTATATTCTTTCTCAAATGCTCCGCTTCTAATCGTATGATAGGAAGCTTTTGTCAGACTGGCATCAATTATTAAAGCCAGTGCTTCGTCTGGTGAATATTTAGCTGCTTTATCTGTATTTGAATTTTTTAAAACGTTCTTGGCAGCACTAACGATAGGCTCATCTTTAGATTTTTTATTAGCAGCAAAAAATAAATCACTGGATGAATGGGATTCAATTAGACAAGATACATTCCGTTTTTTAATTTTATTAAAACTATTCTCAAATGCAACTGGTTTTCGACCGCATCTACTTGCACTTGGTTTATTGTTGATTTTTCTGACAATTAAAAATTCATTAAGTCAATTTACAAACTTCTTTTCAAAGTTTTTAACAGTGTAGTTTGCAGATTTTCACTTGTATTTATACAAATAAACAAATCGTTGAAAGCATGTCTAAAATCAACGTCTTTAAATTCAGCAGGTTTTGGCTGAATAAATTTCAGTGTTTAAGTCTATCTTCAATATATCTTCAGTAATATTTTGTTTTGAAATACTAAGATTGTTTTTGTGGAGAAAATTATAAATGTCCAAGTTAAATAAAACCATATGTAAATAGTTCTCATAGTAGTTTGTATTTATAAGTTTAAATTTATAATATGCCGCGTGAACAACTAATTCTTGTTGTTAATTAAGTTACTACAAGTGTTAGCAATTAAAATTAAGAGTAGCTAAAATACTGTTAGAGTTTGAGTATAAATTACTGACAAGTACCGAAAATATGTTGTTTATATGCAATTTAAAGTAAGGTAGCCTTAGCAACCAAAAAAAAATTAAACGCATAAGAATTGTGAATTTCATTTTAACACATTCTCTGAATATTGTGTAACTAGCGCAGATAAAGTACTGTTAAAACCACGTTAATGTAAGAATGAGCTGTTGCTTTTCAATATTCAGTACCATAGCAACCACATTAAAACATATATAAAATATGAACTTGATTGAGGCATTTTACAGCTTAAATATATATAGAAAAGCATATGGAAAATTATAGTTATTATTAGTAATAATGCGGCAAATAATAAATTTTTTAAAGATTTTTTTTTAATTTCTGATTTTTAAAGTATAACTGAGATAACATGCTATGACATATTTATTTTACACTTTGGTTTTTCTAATCTCTAAATACTCAATATATATATATATATATATATATATATATATATATATATATATATATATATATATATATATATATATATATATATATATATATATATATATATATATATATATATATGTATATATATATATATATATATATATATATATATATATATATATATATATATATATATATATATATATATATATATATATATATATATATATATATATATATATATATATGTATATATATATATATATATATATATATATATATATATATATATATATATATATATATATATATATATAAATATATATATATATATATATATATATATATATATATATATATATATATATATATATATATATATATATATATATATATATATAATATATATATATATATATATATATATATATATATATATATATATATATATATACATATTTTTTTAAATTTAAGTATTTAATTGTTTAGAGTCCTGGTAAGTAAGGGATTTAATATTAATAAATTATCAATAAATTTTACCTAATTTATATAGATTCTAAAATTAAATAAGTTTTCAAGTTAGAAAACAACATTTTTTGGTATTTCATCCACTTGCTGGCCCACTGTGCGACCTTTAAAATATTTTACCAACTCAGCCATTAAACAGATTTTAGAAGCTTATCTATACATCCATGTTATACAAGGCAATACCTCATACTATCAGCACTGGAAAATTCTGACAGTGGAATTTTGTTTTGGAATTTGTTTGTAATATCACTTTACAAATAAAAACAAAAACCTTTATAGACATTTTGTTTTGCTTTACTCACAACACTTCCTTTGAACATACGATCTTTAGGTAAACGAAAAAATGTAAAATTATAATGATGAAAATGTTTCCAAAGCGTCAACGAGAGATATTTTCGTAAAATCTAATTTTGTGACTCGATTTTTTTTATAAATACTTAGTTTATCAAATAATAAAAACATAAATAATCAATAAGTATCAAGAAAGCAAATCTTTTTTATTGATAAGGTTAATGAAGAACTTAACATGAAAGAAAAAAAACTATTATCTTAAAAATAAGAAAATTTTAAAACATAGAAATACTCTGATAATCCTTATAATTGCACTTTTTAAAATTGATGTATTAATAAGTTATTTGTCAATATTTTTTGAAAAATATCATTTTAATGTTATAATATTTTTTTCTTTTTTCTTTGGCTTTTCAGGTACCTCAAGTATTTTTAATAATATCGAAAGACCTTATTTAAAATATAAACTTCTTTGACTTATTTGGCAATATTTGCAAATAGTTGTCTCTTGTTAGGATATTACAGTTTAGTCAGGCCAGTTTCACCATTCTTCTTATCGTCTCTTTTACTAAAATTCACACAAAAAAAAGTTTATTAGCCGAAATTAATTGTTTATATTATAAACTTAAAAATTGCAAAAACATTTTTTTTAATTCATATATCAAATGGCCACACTTTTCCTGTCACTTCAATAATACAAGTCAGCTCACACTGAGGGACAATTTTTTTCAAGAAATTCTTGTTTGACATAAGTTTAAAAATATAATTGTTTGGAGCTTGCTTTGTCTCCGGATGTAAGCTATCTCAAAGACCATAAAATGCCTGATCCGTCACTAATCTATACAGATTTTGACCTTATAGTTCTATTGCAGACTTGTTAACCGTTGCAACAAAAGTAGGTTTTGTCGTGCGTTATATAAATTCTAACTTGTATTAACCATTTTTTTTCTACTGATTATGTTTTCTATCTCTATAAATATTATATTCGTCCTGGTATTAAAAACTGTTGTCATATTTTTTAATTAAATTGTTATTAACTATAAATATTTGCTTGCAGCCTTTTAAGAGTTAAATTTATATATTTTTACAATAAAATATTAACTAGAAAATGGAATAATAAAAACCTCGCGTTCGACATATATGATGAAAACCGCAGAGCATATATGCCGTTATTTTGCTTTATTTATATAGGTTTTCCTTTCTTAAATACTCTGCTGCAATTGGTTGCAAAGTTTATTTTCCTATTGAGCCTTCAAATCAACGCCTAAATTTTTCAAGTTTAACTTTTTTAAGCTCAACCTTGAAGTTTTTAAGTTTCGTTTATACATTTGCTCAAGTTTCTTAACCTGACAAAGTCAGACTTTAAAGTTCAAGTCGTACTTAACTTAACTTGCTGATTGCATTCCACCCTAAATTAGTTGACAATAAAGACAATACAACTATTCTTTTATTATTAGGTTATTTTTTTATAAATTCAATTTGTTACAGCTCTTTTTAACCTGCATCTCTATAAAGTTTATAAGGAACAAGGCTGTAATGCAGAGAAAAAGTTCAGTGCAATACTAACAAGGACTAAAGGTACCATATACAGGTACCAAGTTGCTTCAAACTCTGTACCCCTCACCTACAAAGCAAATGCACTGCTGCACATTATTGAATTATTTACCTTACTATGTTGATATAAATACTTAAAACTGAATTGACTAAATTAAAATAATTTTATACAAAAAATTTTTTTTAAACAAAAAGTGAGTCTTTAAATTAGTAATGGTCATGGAGAAAACATAGAGTGAAAACATAAGTAATCATACATAACAGATTTAATCGTAAGTATAATAAAATTATTAAAATCTAGTTAATTTTGTTTCAATGCATTTTAACAATAACAATTTATAGTGTATGTTGTTAAAATTTACTAATGGAAACTTTTTATTTTAAACATGATTTTAACAAATCAGTAGAAACAATAAGTGTAATAAAAATCATGGTTTTCAAAAAGTATTTAGAATAAAATTCGAAAACAAACTAACCCACACAGCTAGCATTATTATAACCTAAATGCCATCCATTCAAACAAGTGCACATGTAACTACCATTAAGATTTTGGCAAACTCCATGGTTCCAATGACAAGGGGGATTTGTATTATTACATTCATCATAATCTTAAAAAAAATAAAAGCTCTACAAATAATGTAAAACATTCTATACACAGAGTTTTTCTTTCAAATTGCACATTGTCAAAATAGACGATTTTTTTTTTAAACTATTTCAAACAAAAAAATTTATTTTAGGTTCAAGAGTTGAGATTATTGTTTTAGCCTTATCATTGGTTCAAAATTCTTCTTAAAATGAATATCAAACAATGGAAGTGTTTAATAATTATAATAAAAAATAACACGTTACAAATCATGATATTTAGAATAAAAAATATGTCACAGTTTGTCAACAGTGTAAGACAATATTACACTCTTCACAAACTCTTTTTATAAATATGCAAAAAAAAAAAAAAAAAAAAAAAAAAGTTAGTTTAAAGAATAAAAATGCTTTTTAGGATTAAATTTGATACAGTAGATCATTCTATCCTACTCAAGAAATTAGAATATTATGGAATCAGAGGAATACCTCTTAAATGGTTTACTTCATATCTTCACAACAGATCTCAGTTTGTCTCAGTCAATGACTCAAAATCTACTCAAATAAGTTGTTCCAATGGTGTCCCTCAAGGCTCAGTATTAGAACCGCTACTTTTTCGTTTCTATATTAATGACCTTAATAACTCAATTAAGTTTGCAACTCCTTATCACTTTGCTGATGATACTAACTTGCTCATTATCAATAAATCTTTAAAAAAATTAACAGATTTATTAATCATGATCTTGCCAATTTAGTTCAGTGGCTTTGCTCAAATAAGCATTCTCTCAACTGTAGCAAAACTGAACTGGTCATATTCAAATCTAATAAAACAAAAACCAATAAAAACTTAAACTTTAGATTAAGTGGCCAGAAAATCATTCCTGTAAACTGTATCAAATATCTTGCAATTATAATTGATTCTAACCTATTGTTTGTGTCCCATATTAAAAACTTAGCCATAAAATTAAGCAGATCAAATAGAATCCTGGCAAAAGTTTCCCATTATGTCAATCTGGAAACACTATTAAATATATATCATGCCAATTATTGGCTCACATATACGATATGCTTGTCAAATATGAGGACAATCTTAACAGCAAACAGTTTTAAGGATATCACATCTTCAAAACAAAGCTTTAAAAATAATACATTTTCAGAATTACAAATTCAATCCTAATGTGCTTTATCTTACTTCTAAGATCTTTAAACTATATGATCTTGTTCAATTCTTGAATTGCCAGTTTGTCTGGAATCACCAACACAAAAACCTACACCTTACCTTTAACAATTTCTTCCCAAAAAAAGCAAATAACCGTTACTATCTTCGATCAATTGATAATCTGAATCTTGCAGTCTTAAAACATCGTTCTGTTACTTATGGATACAATTCCATAAAAAACCAAAGTATAAAATCTTGGAATAACCTTCCCTATGACCTAAAAGCTCTCCATTCAATCTATACTTTTAAGAGTAGCCTACTCCATTCTTTCCTAATTAAATACAGTTGATAAATCCAAAGATATATATTTGTGTTTAAGTGTTTGTGATACAGACATGTGAATAAGTGGTGAGTGTATATGTATGTAGATATATGTGTGTATGTGTATATATATGTGTGTGAGTGTGTGTGTGTGTGTATGCGAATATGTGTTGGTGTATATAATACATACATATACAATATTATTAAACGTGTATATACTAGGGTGGAGTGAAAAAACCTTTTTTTAGAAATTCATTTGAGCTGGGTATGGAAAAGTTGCCTTTGGGTACAAAATGAACTGTTGTAAAAGCATTTTGCCCTAGAATAATATTTAGGTCTGCCCCAAGGCACTTGAAAATTTGAGTTTTTTGTTAATTTCGCAATTTTTGGTTTAAAAAATAATAATTTCCTATCATTGCAAATTCATGTTGGCTAGGTATGCAAAAGTTGCCTTTTAGTTCAAGGTAAACTGTGGTAAAAGCATTTTGCCCTAGATTAATTTTTAGGTCTGCCCCAAAGCTCTCGAAAATATGGATTTTTTGTCCATTTTGTGGTTTTTGGCGAAAATTTAATAATTTCCTATAATTGCAAATTCATGTTGGCTGGGTATGCAAAAGTAGCCTTTTAGTACAAGGTAAACTGTGTTTAAAGCATTTGGCCCTAGGTTAATAATTAGGTCTGCCCCAAGCCACTTGAAAATTGAGTACTTTAATTTAAATCCATACAAAACCAATTTCGTACATATTTCAGATTGTTTATAGGCATATTAAACAACATTACAAATGTATAATATATCCAAGAACTTCACAGTTGTTTAAATCTTTATAATTGAAACTTAGTGTTGAAAGTTTTTGTCTTTGATCTTGATTCCAGTGTGGCACGAATCATTCCATCTCTGCGATCAAAACCGCAAACAGTAGCTGATGCTTCAGTAACAAGCTTAACGTGTCTTTCAGTTGACTGAGTGTGACATGGAAACTCTGGAATGTTTAAAACTGGTTCAGTCAAAGAAACACCATTTACAAATGACTTTATTTCATGAGTTGAGATGTTCTATGTAGCAGGGGGCTCGCTTATCTGGACAACACTCCAGTCGATTAGATTAGTGTAGTCATCTGCTTTGAAATTAAGTTTCAGCACACAAAAGCGTCTAAGTGACTGACTGTTTTTTTCCCTTGCGCCAAGGATTCTTCTGAATGCAGTTTCCTTATGTGTTCGCGCTCATCAGTCAACATTGCAAGTAGGATGTTTTTGTAATGACTGAAATAAACATTTCTCTGAATTACCTCATCCACAACACATCTTAAGTCATTTTTAGGGTACCTTGAAAAGTTTATCATTCTCTATAGATGGAGTGCCCCTTGAGTACAAGATGATTTCGTCTTGATATAAAACCAAGTAGGAGCGTAAACTTTAACAACAAATGTTGCAAGAGTCACTAAATTTTCAATCGGATCTTCCATCGAAAAATATAACCGCAAAACTCTACTAGCTGTTGTCAGCCAGCGCAAGTGAACTACAGGACCTGGAGTCTTATTTGCCAGATTTATTGGGCATTCACCAATATTCACTGCGTGGCACATTTTATATAAATACATTTGATCTGTGCTTAAATCTTTAAAATTTACATCTGGAAAACTATTCATCTCTATAGTTGAAAAATGCTTTACAAGAAAAGTTTCACAGATTGAAAGTAATTTACCAATTGGACCTGAGAAAGCTTTTGGTCCACTTGTGGTGCCATCTAATTTGCACAAAAGATGTCTAAAAGGGAGCTCATTTGCATGAAGCATGCAAATGAACCAATGCAAAGGCCTATCGAGTTTCATCCCAAGTAAACGGATGACACCTCCCAACGCTCCAGTGTTGACATTCGTGCCATCACAACTGACAGCTACTAAATTGTCTCGTGAAATTCCATTCGAATCACAGAAATCTACAACGCCATATGCTATCTTAACTGATGTTCCATTTTCAGGGCTTATGTGACCAACATATATTGAATGGGGCTCTTGAGTTAGTGTAACATGTTCTTCTGTAACTATTTTGTAATAATACTTGGGACCTTTCTTGAGTTGCATTTTTGTTTTGTCCTTCCTACCATCGAAGTACAAACCTGTTAGATTAGAGGCAAGGTGGGATTGAAGTTCATTTCTAACCTTCTGTCTTTCTCTTCGAATTTTACTTCTATCAATAACCATTGTACTGTCACAGTCATTCACGATACCAACGTCTTGCAACACGGCACTAACATTGGCTGCAGCAGCATGATCTGAAATGCTATGGCGATCACATTACTTTGAGATATTTGGAATGTTTGCTCTTATCTGTTTTTTCTCTGCTGTTCCAGTAGTTGGAACCTTATGTATTGAGGGAAAATGGACATCAGTATCGTTGTCAGTTTCAGTACCAGAAGACAAACTGAATTCAACAATATTTCAAGACAATAGGGAGTTAGATGTAGTGGCTGTTGTTGGAGTTTTGTAAATATTGGAAAGTTTTCTTTTGCGATTATCGTGTTCTTTCAATCGATTTGTAACAACTTTATCTATACTTCCAATCATCATATTTCTTGTACTTCTTTGATCTTCCAAAAATGGTCTTTCTGCAACTGGGACCATAAAACTTTTCTCACAATTGCAGTGATTTATGTCCAAGCACTTGCAAACTGCGATGTCAAACAACTGGGAATTAGCTTCTGTACAAAACTTTTGCATCTTTGCTTGATAGTTAGGATCATTCTGTCGCCTCTTTAAGGGCTTGAGCAAATTTCGATGTTTGTCATGAAGTTCTTTTATCTTAGCTACAATCCGCTTGTGTGTTATAATTGCAATCGATGCTTTGTGCCACAATGCTTCGACTTTCGATGAAACACAACTTGAAACTTCAGCAACTGAAGGGATCTCTGCAGATCTATATGTCATTTCGTCTTTAAGGAACAAGTAATATTTCATCACATCAGCATTTGTGACAAGAATGGTCTCTGGTAAATATTAAGGATTTCCAAAAATTGGGCAATTGGTACGCAGCCGTGTCTTGTGCTTCTTACACCCACTAACACCAGCCATTCTTGTTATTATTGTTCGGACGTCACTCACAGATGCGAGGTTGTTTGAATTTTCTAATCTAAAATAATTTCTTAATCTAAAATAATAATATAAAAATAAAATAATTAATTTCTAACATAATAATTCAAACAAAATAATGTAAATACTGAAATTATTATTTTTTAAGCCAAAAATGCCGAAATTAACGAAATATTCAAATTTTTAAGTGCTTTGGGGCAGACCTAAATATTAATTTAGAGCAAAATGCTTTTACCACAGTTCATTTTGTTGCCAAAGGAAACTTTCCCATACCCAGCTCAAATGAATTTCCAAAAAAAGGTTTTTTCACTTCACCCTAGTGTATATGTATTCATGTTTGTATATGTGTATGTATGTGTGTATATGTATGTGTGTATGAATATGCACGTGTGTGTATATACGTTTATTTGTGTATAGTATATGCGAATAAACATATATAGGTGTATATTATGTTTTTATACAATTAATGTATACATACCTGTATTGAATACAGGGGAATATAAGTATTAGGCCAGATCATAACTTCAAAAATTTTGATTAATTCCTTAGAGAATATGCATTTAGTGGTTCTCAAATATACTGAAACTATTACTGCAAACCATTTTTCTCTACTACTTTGCTATACTGTGCATTTTTGTCTTTGAAAATTTACTTAAAAATCCAATTTTGTAACATATCATTTATTGAATATTTAGTACATCATTTATTTATTGAACACTTAATACTATTAGAAAAACAAGTTATGTTAATAATGCATGATTTTTATATTTTAACAATTAACAACAGTTAAAATATTTTAGTTAAGTCTGTTTGAATTCAGACTTTGTATCAAAGTGAGGCATGAATTTTCGGCGCTCCAAAAGAACGTGAATACCATCACGGCTATCATGACCATAAATGTTAGATGCAGATTCAGTGACAACTTTAAACGTTCAACACTTTGATCGTGGTATGGAAATAGTTTTATATCAACAACAATATCATCTGACTGAAGCCAGGCCAATATTTATACGGTAGAAATGTCTTTTGTCAAAACGAATTCCAAGCGGGGAGTAGTTTGCCAATCAATTAGCTTTTCATAGCTTGTTGCTTGAAGTCTAATTTCAAGGATTTAGAATTTACGATTTGGTATGTCATCCCGTGCATGTAGAATTTTTTTCAGAGTAAGTCTACGAATTACTTGATGGTTGTCTTTCAACATAGCAAGAATAATGCTCTCAATATGAACTGGATAGCTTTTGCATAAGAACTCACAATAATTTTAGCCAATAGTGTAATTCTTTAGATGGAGCTACAGTAGATATATAGGTGCAAAACACGATTCGCAAGTGCCAACCACCTTGCATGGTTTAGCCGCCTAGGCAATCTGGATTCAAATCCCTGTGGTACAATGCCTGTCTTCACTGCATTAACAATTTTAAAAAAGTACAACTGATCACTGCTTAATAAATCTTTATCACAATTAATAGGTTCACCAGCAATAACAGCAAAGTTTACTATGGGTGGCTGCAATAGCTTTGAAATAGATTTGCCAAAAAGTCCATTAAATGAATGTGGTCCAGTTGGTGCACCATCTAAGGAACTAAATAGATGTCGCAAAGGAAGCTCATTCAGATTTAAGAGACAAATGGACCAGTGAAGTGGACAACCAAGTTCAATTTCCATTCTGCGTATAACTCCATTATTTAAACCAGTGTTAATGTGTCAGCTACTCTGACACATTTGTAACTGATTTCATTTGTTGATCTTAATACTGATTTCCTTTTTAGACGCCTTTCAGCAAGTGCAGATTCTTCTTATCAACACCAGCTATTCGACCAATACGTGCAGTGCACTGATCTGTAAGAAAATTATGCTCAATTGCTGCTACCTTTATATTAGGAGGGCAGCAGCAAAATGAAAACTCTTTGCATTTACATGAACAAATACCAAACAGTTTATTTAGATTAGTTTCTATTCCTACTCATTTGAGTGTTTCAGATTTTCGCGTCACTTTTTGAACTTCACCTATATACTTTTCCAACTGGATTTCTATCCCTCGAAGAGTTTTTGTAGGGATTGATGCTTTAATCCATACTTGCAAGAGTTTCTCAGCCAGCATTTTACAGACAGTTTGTAGTGGCTCGGTTTCATAATTCTTTTCAAACCAGTATGCTTTGCTAACCTGTTTGTGCGTTGGCAAGTAAACATTTGGTAACTCGTGAGCTTCATTAAAAAATGTATGACAATTTTTTGCAGCTGCAGATCTTGATAACATTATAAATGTTTCATAGTTTTTAAAACAGATTAGAATTTGAATTAATTTCTGTAAATGTAAAAAACAGACAAAAAATTACAATTAAATATAAAACTACAAGCAATTATGCACTTTGCATAAACTAATAGTTTAAAGTTTAAACACCGAGCATTCATAGAAAATAATGTTTAAAATTGCCCAAATCTTACTGTCATGAGCGTTCGTTGTTCACGTGATAGCTACGTGACAGTCGCTTGTATGTGTTTTATGGCTTGTACATTCGTACCGTCCTTTGACGCTCCTTCGTTGATCTAATGGCAAATGATTCGTTTGATTATTCACCTGTGTTTAGCAACGTTGCATCAGCTAGATGGCGTGACGATGGACAATGGTCAGGTCCCAGTGAACATTTAGTATATAGTTTGGATTTTGCACGTATCGTACACTGTGTGTATGGCTTCCAGACATATCTACTGCTCGTTAGTTTGCATATATAGTTTGAGATTGACTTATAATAAAATATTAAAATAATTTCAGTTATTAGATAATCTAAAGGATATAGATTATTACACTTACTACTATTTACAAATCCATACAAAATACAAATAAACTAAATATTAGTCCTACAATATAGGCAAAATTATGTGTAATTCAAAAACTAGTAAAATATTTTTATAGTTATACAATTATATAATTAGGCAATAATGCGCATATACCTAAAAACTTAAAAACGCAAAGTATAATTAAATTTTATTCAAGTTTTTCTTTGCTACTAGTAAACATTGCTATATCATGCCACTTTTCCCAAATTTTCAAAGCAACTTAACTTTTATGATCCGGTCTAATAAGTATATGTGTTTATATGCATTTGTGAACGTGAGTTAGTATATGTGTTTGTATGTGTGTATTTGTATGTGTCTGTATATGTGTGTATTTATGTGGCTAATACTAATTTATTAGTATTTTTTTAATGATTATTGTAATTATTTTTATTTCTGTCATTTTATTTTTATTATAATCACTGTACTTTTATCATTGTATTGTTATTACTGTTACAATTACAACTTTTATTATTATTTTCATTAGTATTTTTACTTCTTCAACTTTTAATGTTCGTTTTGGTACTGCTGTGAATGATTAATATTACTATTTGCATTAATCAATATATTTATTAGCTTTTATTTACAAGGTTTTTACTTAAGATTAGTACATGTACTATTTGTAAATTTCCGTGAATGTAACAACTATTTCAGAATATATATGAATTGAATTGCATTTCAAGAAATATACATTTAAGAAAAAATCTTTATTTTATCAACAAACTGTAAAAACACTAAAAGAAACAATTCCTTAAAAGAAATTTTTTCTAAGTCACTCACCCAAGCAGCTTTCATCATCCAAAAACCATCCCTTCATACAAGAGCAATTATAGCTTCCATTTGTATTTATGCATATGCCGTTTTTCCACGAACATGGAGGACTCAAGCTTTTGCACTCATCGTAGTCTTAATCAAAAAAATTTATTATTAAAAATTAAGTTTTAATTTTATTAAAATAAATGATTTTTTTTCAGCTATTAACATAACATGCTCCAAATAAAATGTATAAAAGTCACATTTTTGGTGGTTACTTTATTCAAAATATCTCAGACTAAAATGACTTTATCAAAAAGTAGACAATTAACCTTAAGTGAGTTATTGATAATTAAATAATTCACATAAATGATAGTTGAACTTCCATTGTATAATATTTTGCTCAATATAATTAAAAGTTGAATCAAGATTAAAATAACACCATTTTAGCTGATATGCAAAAAGAAAATTCATTTTGATTTTATTGCAAACTATTGGTATATCTTTGATTTATTTTTGTTTTAAATGTTTTTACTTTAGTGTGCAAAATACATTTTTTTTTTAAAATTTAGAAAAAAGGGGTCAGCTAGTTATTGCCGACCTTAATCTTTTTGAGATATGCATCAGTTCGGTAAAAATTATTTTATACAAAGATCTGACCGCAAAACATAAAAACATAAAGGTCGGCAATTTTTTATCGACCTTTATTACTTTCAGGTTGACAGTTAGGTTGGCATTGCCAAATGCCGACATTAATTCGTAGTGTTGAATTTATTAATGTATTTAAATAATACTCATCACAAAAAATTAATATAACTTACAAAAACTTCAATTAAAAATTACAATAAACATTTATTTTATTTGAAAAAATTATGTTCACGTATTTAACTAAAAATTTGACATCCAGTATTATTGTATGTAATGTTTTTTAAGTTTATGCCTTCGATTCTTACAAAGTGATACAAATTTATGTTACTGAAAATGATTTGAAACGTAAAACAAAAACTACTGAATATAATAAAATTCAAAACAACTGTTTATTGGTGGAAATTATATTAAAAGAATTACCAACACAGCCATTTCCAAGTTTATTCAAAACCCATCCTGTTGGACATCTTTTTAAACCTAAATAAAAAAACCCAACCCAAAAATAAGATAAATATATGTCACAGATAAATGTGAAAACAAAACAAAATGGTGTAACTAAATAAAACTTTTGAAAAGAAAAAATGTTAAATGACTTCCTGCATTGCCACGAGTTGTGTAAAATTAAAGACCTGCAACACACTCAATGATGCAAAACCAATAATGAAAAAAGAAAATTAAATTTATTTATTATTTAAACACCAGTATTAGCAGATATCTCAATGATCTCTAATAACTTCACAATGTTGAAGCCAGTACAACAGATGGCAGACATTTATATCAATTGTTGTATTTAACTTGATGGTTCTGTTGTAAACTACAATTTTTTTTTTATAAAATGTTATCAGAGACCTCAGTTGATATATATATTCCTTTGAAGTCTCAAAAGGGGTTTAAAGGAATATATATATCAACTGAGGTTTTAAATAAAGCACTTTACAAGTTTATAATTATATATTTTTTCATTGTTTCTACTTTTTTTATACTTATTTTGATTAAGTGACAAAATAAAAGTCAACTAAACATCTGATGAAAGGAAACAACTTTTCATACAGTTATCCAAGCATAAATAATGAGATTATTAATTTGAATAAACGTTCAATGCAAAAGCTGCAAAACTGTAAATTAATCTGTTTTTTTGAATAATTTTGTTTGTTTTGAAAAAAATAGTTTACGTTAGTTGTAAAGTTGTGAAGTTTAAATAATGAATGCATATATTCAGTTTTTTATAAATGACTCAATTTACAAACTAGCTTCAGTTTTTCTTTATTGTTTATTTTCACTGCCTTTAATAAACGTTGGAACTGCATTTTAATTTAAAAAGAATTTTAGTTTATGACGCCTCAGGAGATTTTTAAATAAAGCATTTCAATATATGACATCACTAGAGTATTTCAGTTTATGAACCCACTGGAGATTTTTAAATAAAACATTTTAGTTTATGGTGCCACTAGAACTTTCCAGTTTATGACGCTACTGTAGCATTTCAAATAATTACGCAACTGGTGCATTTTAGTTCATGACAACACTGAAGACTTTTTAAATAAAACATTTCAGTTTATGACGTTGCTAGAGCATTTTAACTTATTACGCCACTGAACTTTTTTTAAAAAGTTAAAAATATTTTGCTAAGCTTTTCTTGACAATCAATGAATAATAATAAAAAAATAAACAGTTTTTAATTTTCAGCAACATTCAGCAAATTAATAGTTTTATTTTTCATTTTATTTAGCCCCTTTCCACAATAAAAACACAGCAACACTTTTTGTGGTTTTCAAATTTTATTACAGCATCTTGTTTTTAAGAAATATCAAGATAATCTTTTTTTTTTGTATATATTATCACAACTACATATTAGTTACAATTTTTTTCACATCATAATATAAGCAAAACATACTTCCATTACAGAAGATTGTATTTAACTAAATACTTCTAAAATATATCTAACAAAAATAAACAGAAAAAATAACACTCAGTTGATAAAGAAGAAAAAATTATTATAAAAAAAAAAATATTAATAATAATTTAAAATTTAGGGAGTATTATGAAGCAAATGTTTATTTAAAAAAAAAAAAAAAAGATAACATCTGAAAAAAAGAAATTAGATAAAAACTAACTTTTTACTGTTTTAAAGTTTAAAACTGAAATAAAGAATAAAATATTCGTCTAAACTCTTTTGATCCATAATTGTGTCTATTTTGATCCATAATTGTAGTCGCTATCGTTCAAAATCCATAATTGTGTTTTTTATAACATTTTGCAAAAAGTTTTTTTTTTACTAACTTGTGTTAGAAAAATCGTTTTTAATGTTTACATTTAAAGTAAACAATCAATGTATATACATTGTTTTTACAAAATAATATATCCTTATTTAATGCTTATTAAAAATACATTCAAACTATAAAAAATTGTTGTGGGGTAACCGTAATAAAAAAATTGTTGTGGGGTAACCGAAATAAAAAAATTGTTGTGGGGTAACCGTAATAAAAAAATTGTTGTGGGGCAACCGTATTAAAAAAAGTGTTTTGGGGTAACCGTAATAAAAATATTGTTGTGGGGTAACCGTAATAAAAAAATTGTTGTGGGGTAACCGTAATAAAAAAATTGTTGTGGGGTAACCGTAATAAAAAAATTGTTGTAGGGTAACCGTAATAAAAAAATTGTTGTAGGGTAACCGTAATAAAAAAATTGTTGTGGGGTAACCGTAATAAAAAAATTGTTGTGGGGTAACCGTAATAAAAACCATAATACAAAGATAATTATGATTGAAACATTAAAATAGTTTTTTATACGTTTTTTGTTTTAGTTTTGTTGTATTTTATTTCATACTTTATTGATAGTCTGAGCTAATCTTACTTATATTTCACAATAATAAAGTTGTGTACTTGGATGTATTTATGTAAATACATATTAAATAAACACATTCAAGAGTTAAAAATTTATAACAGATACAATCTAATAATTAAAAAAAACAACAACCAAGAACTATTTATATAATTCTTTTTTATTAGTTTGTTGATGAAAGCGCAAGACTCTATATTTGTATGTTTTTTTTTATTGGATTTTAATTTTTTGTCCTTGTATATATATATATATATATATATATATATATATATATATATATATATATATATATATATATATATATATATATATATATATATATATATATATATATATATATATATATATATATATATATATATATATATATGTATATATATATATATATACATGTATATATATATATATATATATATATATATATATATATATATATATATATATATATATATATACATATGTATAATATATATATATATATTATATATATATATATATATATATATATATATATATATATTATATATATACATATATATATATATATTATATATATATATATATATATATATATATATATATATATATATATATATATATAGCAACAGTGTTCAACAGAAGAGTCTAACTCATTTTCATAGTTGGATACTTTAAAAAGCTACACAAAAAAAAATTAAAAAAAATTAAACTTTTCAGTACTTTGAACATTGTGTAGAATATTAAATAAAATGTTTAAAAAGTTGCTAAA